CCCCCCCCCCCCGCCAAGACCTTTTGCAATATAAAAATAATTTAGATCAATGCAGCAGTGCACTTGCTCTGTTACTGCAACACCCCCACACCTGTGCGGTGCTTCTTCTGCTGGGGCGTCAACCACACCAGCTTTTAGCTGCCTTATCAATCGCTCATCATCTCTGTTTCTTCCTGGCTGCCAATTGATGGCTCTTGATGTCTCCGTGACTGTGCAGAGCTTTAAGAAGTAGCAGTTCACAGGCTGATCGTTCCAGTCACCATGTTAAATTAATCTGCTAGCCAGTGCACTCGCTTTTTCCTCTCTCTGCCTGAGAGCCATGTGTTGGGGTTGATGCCTTCTCTTCTCTGAGATGAATCAAAACTTGTGGCAGAGGTGATATCTTTTATTAGACCAACTAGATATTTGCAACAACAACAAAAAATCCTTTATTTGCAAGATTTCAGGTACACTTCATCAGGCATCGAAGATTGCAAAGACTGTAAAAGTTCTCTGAAGGAGAAATGAAAATTCATATTTCACAGGAGAGCTGCAGGTGTGGTAAAGTCTCCTGTTTGGAACAGTTCATTTTGTGCAGATTAGGCTCAGCGAAAGGTTGGAAAAGTCTTTTTACCTCTAAGTTGTCTGGTGGTAAGCATGAGGTAGAATCATAGTTCCTTCTGGTTATGATGAATGTGAAACATTGCAACCTCTGTGCACCACCTGATCTACTTCCTGCGTGTGATGAGTTTCCAGGGGAGAGGCCTCCATGGGCCAACTACAGCGGACAGGTGGAAAGAGGGAGGTAGCCATGTTCTGCAGGGGCAGCAGCAAGGTCCGAAAGGCCTGGGGCTAGCAAGGAGAGGTGGGGAGACCCACACACGTCGTTCCTGCATCTGTGGTCTAAAATGAGACAGCTACAGCTGATGCCCTGCCACTCGCTATGGTCATCTTAAAGTAAGCTCCCATGAGTGTGTGTAAGAATATTTCTGCATTAGGATGGTTGTTGGCCCCACGCATGGGAAGGACTTCTTGCCCATGCACCTCTGTTCCTTCTCCCTTCCCGGTAGAAACTGGAAGCACAAAGAACTGCAAGGTGGTCAAGAAGCTGGTGGGGTGGGTAACGGGAATACAGAGCCACAGTAGTTTTCCAGTGGAACTATCATCCAGGAAAGCAGGCTGGGTTCTGGGGAGCAAATCTGAGTCGGTCTGGAGGAAAGTTCTCTGGTGACAAAACACCACTGGCCAGGTCCCAGCAGCAGCAGCAGAAGCTGGACAAACGGGTGGCAATGGAGGTATTTGCAATAGAGACATGGACATTTCGTACCATGTGTTAGGAATACCCAGGGTTTATTTGTATCGCCACATTTGGAAACCTCTCGGTGGCCTAGTTTGATGTATGACAAAAATAAATGTACAATTTTATAAGAAATGAAAATAAAGACAAGCAGGGAAAAGGTTAAGTTATTTACTTTAACCAGCACATTCCTCCACTGCTTATAGAAAAGGTTATCGTGATGTGTAACCAGTAAAACGAGTGCCCTGGAATTTACTTAATAACCAGCCCTTCAGACTGCAAAAAAGGACATAAGTTGAAGAAAATCACAAGGGTTCTTAAAAGTTCAGTCGCTTAGGTTACAGAGGGATCTTCCTTCTGAATTTAAGTGCTTCAAATAAGCTTCCTTATTACTAAATCCAATTTTCTAGATAACCTCTTACTTTGAGCCTGTTAGACATATGTTGTGCCTTAGCCTGAAAGTCTCTTGGTGAACTGTAAATTCATTGCATCCTGTGAAACTGGCTTGCAGAGTAAACCTTGCTTCAGAGGAAGAGGATGGAGGTGGTTTGTTATCAGGATATAGATTTTGTATGCAGCTGGAAAATGTTATTGATCTCCTAGTGGTCAGTTGGCCTCAAATGTCTGACAGGAGCAGAGTCCTATATTATGAAACTCAGATTAGTTTGTTCATTAAAAATGATGCACTTTTATAAAACTATTGGATCCCTCAAAATCGTTTCTTTTTATGAAGGTGGCTATATTTACCCAGGGCTCACAAACATGTCTATAATAAGAGTATTTTCTCACCTATCCCACACACAGCATGTCTGTCTGTCTTGTAGCAAACTTCTGTGCAATGTTCTGAAATACTAGAAGCTCCAGTAACGTGCCATATTGGGTCGGTATGAAATACTAGTGAAAAGATATTTAAAGCATTATTTTATAGCTTGGTAGCCTACGTAGCAGAATTATTTATACCTGGGTAGCCTGAGAATTCAGGAACAAAAACACTGTCTCTTCCTCGCTTTTAACAAAGCTTTAACGGGCAATTGCTGCAGCAGGGTTTCACGCGAGTTGAAGCTCCATGACTTTTACAAAATAACCTGGAAGAACATTTACAAGTGTGCTAGGAAGTATCATAAATAATTCAAACTAAGCTTGTCAGATGCACAGATTACATTTTGCAATGTAGCATCCTTGCTTTCTG